TCAACTGTAACTCCATTCTTCTCATCACTTACTTATTATAGATTTCTTTTTTTATTCCCTCTGTTTTCCCTTAAGTTTCCTATTTTTTCATCTCTCGCCCCCACTGTTTTTTTTCCTCTTAATTTTACATTAACTGCTTTAATACACATTTTTTTCATGTGTACTATTCTCTTATTCTTCATGTCCATCCTCTTCTTCTTTAGGCCTCCTCCTTTCCTTTTCTCACCAGAAAAACATGAACAGAGGTTTCGTGCCTATTAAGGTGACCATTCATGTTTCAAAGATAAAAAAGGAATTATCTGAAATATAAATGACAAAGCTTATGTTTAAGTTACTGCACTCTATAATGTTTTATTCCTGGCACAAAATCATGTGTGTCAGAATGCATACATGAGTATATTGTACAATAATTGCTTGGAAACATTTTTCATCTGACCAAATACTTATTAGCAGCTTTAAAAAAACAGTCAACTCATGTTTCCTCTAGCACCAAATAAAGGATATCCCTTAAAATACAGTCTCTTATTTCCTGCTCTCGTCTTCTTTCATTTTCCCTAAGACTTTCTTCTCTACCTCTTGCTGCCCAACTCTATCTTTTCCTTCCATCATCTCTTTTTTCTCCCTGTACTCTCATCAGTTTATAGTACTCCTGTACACGTGGCATTCCCAGAATTTCTCCTACATCTCCTTGTTTGCATAGCAGGTGTTCTCTTCTCCTGATCAGCCCCATCACTAGCCAAATGTATCCTGTGATAGCCAGTGTTTCTTCCTGATTCTACCAGAGACAGCAGCCAATGCTGCAAAAAGAAGAAATAATGTAGAGCAAGTGAGAGAGAGGAGCACTGATCAGTACAAGAGTGCTCAGCTAGATTTATCTTTCTCAATCAGAGAAAGCAAAGCAGTGAAACAATGGTTGTTATCCCTATGCTGCAGCCAACTGGGAAATCCATGAACAGGCAACTCAATTCGGCCCTGATTGAACTCTCCTGTGGGCCCAGGGCTATTAGATTTTGTGGGGCTCCTGTATACAAGTCATTTTCCTGGGAGGGAGTTTGGTGCAGGAGAGAGCTGGAGCAGGGGATTGCGGTGCAGGAGGAGGTGCAGGGTCTGGGAGGGAGCTTGGGTTTAGGAGGGGAATTATGATCTGGGGCAGGTGGCTGGGGTGAAGGAGGAGGTGTGAGATGCAGGCTCTGGCCAGGAGGCACTTACCACAGGTGGCTCCCAACCAGCGGCGCAGCAGGGCTCAGGCAGGCTGCCTGCATGCTGTGGCCCCACGCTGCTCCCAGAAGTGGCTGACTGCTAGCATGTCTCTATGGCCCGAGGGGAGGGAGACAGTGTGTCTCCATGCGCTGCCCGGATCCTCAAGCACCACCCCCGCAGCTGGGGACTTTTAGTGGCCCAGAGTTGGAGATTGCTGCCTGTCATTTATTTTTGTGGGGCCCCCCTTGAGCCGGGGCCCTGGGCTGCAGTCCCTAAAACCCCTGCCTTAATCCAGCCCTTACTCCAATGCAGGAACCTGGAAGCTGCTCCCCAAAATCAGAACCATCAGAAGAACCCAGGGTTTTGAGAAGTGCTAGGGCTGAGCTGTTGCTTCTTTAAACTACATACAGATGACCCAATCCAAAATCCCACATCCAAACCACCTCACACTTTGTGACATTTGAAATACAGATTCAAATTTTGCCATGAGCCTCTCCTCTGCTTTAAACCATTCAGAGAAAATCCCAAACCAGATTAAAACAGGGGATTTGAGGTTTTTGCTCAGGACTGTAACGAGAAGTATTTGAGTCAAAATAATCTGGTTTCAGTCATAGAAATTTATTTGAGGAATACAGAATCCTATTTAGGCCAGTGTGCATTTTCCTCAGAACTGGTTATCCAGCAGCAGAAAATACTGTCAAACGTTTAAGAGTGACCAGTAGGTTTTTTTTGCCAAAATTTCCCACAGTTGCTAACAATGCTACTACTCCAGAGCGGGTGCACTAGAGCAGAAAGGGCTCCAGACAGCCATTAACATTTCAATCATCTTATTGTCTAACACTGTCCAGAGTAGGTCTACATGATATGGGTACAAGTCCTCACTTGGTGTAAATCGGCTCCTCCAAAGAAAATGGAACTATGCCAACATACACCATCTGAGGATCTGGCCCCTGGTGCTTAAAATGCCAGCATCTACTAGCTCCTTTGTCTACATTAGCACACCTAGTGTTGCTCCCAGCAGTAGAGGGGCATTGGTATTAGCAACTGTGGGATATGTTAGTATAAAAATAAAATGTAAAAATAAAAATAAAAGTATGGACACAGACTTACAGTGCTGTTTTAGCAAAAATGATCCTAGTTTAGAGATGGCCTAAGACTATCATCCATTCCACATCAGTGAAGCACAGAGTAAGAGAATACGATTTTAGCTGTCTATATTTAGTTACTAAATAAATTGTACTGAGATTTTGCTGTGCACATTATTTCACATCACTCCATTGGTTATCATTCCTTTTGTTTATTAGTATCCATTGAAAGAATGAAATGATTAACTATAGCGTTCATTAAAGAATTAGAAAACAGAGACCCATTGTATTATCCAGGAAACAGGGCACAATACACACTGCTAAACACTCACTGCAATATAATCAGCCCTGAGAGAGACCATCCTTTCCAGATTCAATATCTATTTTACAGTAAAACTGGAACTTTTTTGTATTTTAAAATATAAATCAATGTGGAAGGCAATGTACGCTTGTTGGTAGATGTGTGCGACTGCTCCATATAATACAACTTATCCTGGACAGCAGGGTCTTGAATTGAAAATCTTTAGTGGAGTTTTGTTGTTCCAAATATATTTGCTTATGAAAAATTTTAAGCTATTATTGAAACATAAAGTGATGAAAGACAGAAGATTAAACCTTTCCCAGTATATTAAGTAACTTAAAGCAGTGCAGAATTAGTTCTTTAGACTGACTTCACCTCTCTTGTAATAGGCACCCATGGAAATTCAAATTTGGGCAACTGCAGAATGATATCAAAAGAGACATTGGTGACACAGACTCCGAAGGCAAGAGTCTCTGGAATGACACGCTATACTAACAATCAGCATGGGGAGATCTTACTAGAATCTCCATATTTGGCCCTTATCAGGCTGGAACAGAAGTTGGATGCTACCCATATTTTGATGATTTGAACAGAAATTAAACTGGAACAAAAGACTGGCTGTGTAGGGAAATACAGTGAGGGAACACCACAAAAAATCATTACGCTGAAGCTCAAACAGATCTGTTAATGAAGGGTAACAACCACCAATTAGGAAGGAAAATACCATATCTGGAGAACACTCCAAACTATACCAATTTATGGTTAGTGAATTTCCCTAAATGTGGATGGTGAATTAATTAGTAAAATTAAGCTTGAGCTGTTCAAACTGTACTTGACAGAAGGCTTTGATATTTCTGGAGACTGCTTCCCATTTACTGGAATGAGCTGTTCTAACTAATTAGAAATCTATGTATTGAACTTAACTAAAGACATACAACTGAGTTACTGCAATGTTAAGGTTGCTCAGTTACAATCATAAAAATGCAGGAAATGCAAAAGTTAAGGTACCAACAGCAATGTTAACTTTGCTCTATTACACATCCTGTATGTACTGTAGTCAAACCCAGACAAAGGCAATCTAGAGTCACCATGACATCAGGGTCATTTTATGACTTTTTAATAATAAAAAGTAACACTCAACACATATATAGCACTTTTTATTCTGTAGATCTCAACAAACTTTACAAAGGTGGAGAAATAGCATCTTTATTTTACTAATGGGGAACATAGAGGTGCAGTGACTTGCACTGGGTCATTCAGCAAGTCAACGGCAGAGGTGGGATAGTTAATTTAACTAGGCAATATTAGGCCATACCCATATAATTGCCAACCTTGGAAACCCTAGAGCAGATGGTTGTCTGACTCCAGCAGCCATTTGCAGCACTAACTCAATTAACCTCTGGTAAGAATGAGGGAGTTATGTCTATTTTTATAAATATCATATGCACCCCAGGTTACCAGCTTAATATTATCCTGCCTGGCTGCAAGGAGTTAAATCAAAGGAGATTGTTAAAGGGAAAAACAGAAATATGAAACAGTGACAAATCAGGTACTAACACACATGATATCAAGGTTCCTTGAGGAAACACTGGAGAAGCTATTAATTGGGGAATAGCCACCTGCCTGGCTCCAGCTAGGCTAGCAAGGTTTATTCTTCCCAGGCCCAAATCTAGGATCAAAGGGGATACTAAAACCCTAAAATGCCAACTTAGGGAGGAATGGAGGTTGAATGGGCAGCAGTAGCTGGAGATGAGTTTCTGATAGACCAAGAATGCCAGAAGGGCTTTCTGACTCTCCCAGTCTGAGCTCAGTAGAATTCACCCAAAACTTGCAAAGAAAGACTAAAGTTTATGTAAGAACTTGGTGTACAGGCCTTTTGGTGTTTTATCTCTTTTCTCTGCTTGAGTGAATAATCAAAGCTTTGTTTTGAAGATGTTTTTGAGTTAGTTATTTAGCCAGCTGCTGGTCACTGGCTCCTGTGGAAGAGATTATTCACTTTCTCACTTTTATAGTACTTCTGTATTTTGAGTATAAATTCTAGATTATAAACAATTTAAACTCCATTTTTAAATAGTTGTATTAAATTAGTGGATTTATTTATTATGAAAACCAAAGTGTAAGAATTAGAGTTTTTGCAATGAATATATTTATAGATAATATGTTTCTGGATCTCCTTATATAAGACGACAGCATACAGCAAATACAGAAATATACAAATTTATCTCAATACCTAGAAGAGCAGTTGATCAATCAATCAGACCATAGCTTCAATATTTTCTGGATAACTTTTACTCTTTCAACTTTTTTAAATGCATAAATAATTTAGATTGCACAAAGCTAACCACTAAGTGGAATATTTTTCATAGTGCTGGGAACAGAACAAACCCACACCGCAGTATCTACTAAGTACTCACCACAGTTTGATGATTGACCTGGATCACCTCATCCCCTGCATGGATCTTCTTACACTGGTCTGCAGGAGACTAAAGCCAAGAGATAACAGTTAATTTGGCAACTGTGAAGGACCAAGAACTAGTAGGGAAAAAAAGACAATAGGCCCTACCCAAGGAAACTCAGTTCTAATAACAATAGTAAATTGTATTTATAAGATGCTGTGTTACCTTTCCCAACCATAGTATACATATTAGTATTGTGACTGGGTACTTTAGATTCCCTATCCCTGCATTAGTGATCATCTTCTCCACTGAGCCCTGGTGCACTCTATTGCCCACCTCCCATGCAATTTAACTTGTAGCTGTATTACCGTTCTTGCAAATATGAGATTAGGGTGTCAAGCAGCCCAAACTCTATCGGTACGAGTGCACACAGCTGAATGGAAGGTGCCAGGCACCAGCAGGTACAGCTGAGGTCTTGCATTGTTAAATCAATAGTTATCCAAAAATGTTGGAGAGCACCAGAAATATAGCCAAGAAAACAAAGCAACTAGCCAAATAAACAATCCACTGAAATTTTAGGTTTGCAGCCAGTATGAAACCTGAAATATCAATAAATTTGCCCCTTTCATTTGACAAGGGTGATTTGAAATTAGAGGTATCCTTCGAGCGTTTGACTCTGTTCTTCAGTGATGGATAATGGCCTTGATAGGTGATTTTCTTAAACTTATTTAAGAGCAGTTCATCTACTTCAGTCTAGACCTTCAAGATGAAATATCCTTAATTGTCATAACTTTGATTGCTTTGGGCTGGACCATAATCTTTATTTCAGTGTAACCCAGCAGTTTACAATAAAGCAAATATAGACTCAGGCTCTGGATTGGACAGAGCACTGGGACTCCAGTGAGTTCTAAGTATGTGCCTCAGTCCTCTGAGAAATAATGAGGGACTTGAGCACCCGTGTAAGAGCTTTACTGAATCAGGGCCTAAAACAGAAACAAGATTAATTCTACCATTAAAACTAGACTAAAACTACAAAGAAAACCAGCATGTTGTGACCCAGATCTTCTGAATTAAATACATAAATTAAAACAAAGAGGTGGGATGGGCTATTTTCAGAAGAGCCCTGATTATGAAAAGGAATGTAGTGTTGTGTTATCAGAACAGTAAATCTAGAAGTAAAGTGAGCTTTTTTCACTTTCCCAGAAAAACTTCTCAGTAAACCTACTAAAAAACACTAGGAATATCCTTGTTGAAATAATAACGTATAATAACTCTAAAAACTTCATTCAGAAAAGCGCTGAGGACACGTGGAGTTGGAAATGTTTTAAACCTTTTATTTCTTAAATGTTGAAATGGCAAATACCTTTATGAAATGCATACTTGCAAAGACGTTCTATAAACACGCAATTCCTAATAGAGCTCCTAATATCATTCCTATGTAAATAGTAAAATGTTTAAAGATTAGATTTAAAAGCTCTTGTAATAATTTTATGGGAATATTGAAATAAAATTAACTTAAAATATGTTAATCTCCTGTTAATCACCAAATGATTAGAGCATGTATTCTTGGAGAGATGATAGACAGTTAAATATTGGTAAATTAACTAATTTGATTAAAAATTCTTAATATTCCTTAATTGGCCTGTTTTAAGACAGCTCCTTAAATGGCGAATGGCTTCTTCCAAGTTATTGATTTAGATATTTTCTTCCATTTCATAGAATTTAATTAAATAGCTTTGCCGAATTATAAACTGTCTGGTTGTTCTTGTAAATAACCAACAAGAGCCACCTTTCCTTAAACAAAAGTATTTTGCCCATTCATAAATATTTTAAGTTATCTAAGGGACAGGCTAAGACTGGCTTCCCAATAATTTTGGGAAATAAGACCTTGGTCTCCATTTAACAAAAGAAAAGTGCCCCAGCAAATGCAGGCCCACTCTCAGAAGTATAAACCCTGTTAAAAAGCTCTGCACAGAGAGATGTACAGAAGACATTGCAATGGAAGTAAGCAGTTTGTCATTTGTGTTGTGTTTTTTTTAACATTTTCTTTTTCTTTCTTTAATACTAAAATAGCCAGGGCTGTTAATTGTAGTTATTTTTCTTGATCTCAATCATGATGTCCCAGGAGGTGGAACAGGAACAGAAAAGAACCCATCACTAAAATACTAGGAGTCACACCCCTGAGTTGGCAGTTAGAGAAACAATTAGTAAGAGCTGGCTTACCATTCCTTGCTTTGCTAAATTTTCAGTATTTTTAAAATAAAATTAATTGGCATTCAACAATTTAAAATTGCCCTATTTTACCATACCCTCCTTACCATTGCATGCTTCAGGTGTTGACAGTCACATGCTCTTGGACCTCAGTGAGAGTAATGGTATATAGCAGCCAAGAGTTCAGAAAATGTGAAAATCCATAATTTATACAGAGTTTCAAACATCACTGAAATCCCAATCCTTTCTCCCTGAGAAAGCTGGCCTTTGATCTAGTGTCACCGGAAGGCATAACAGGCTTTCTCAGTAAAATTCTTGTGAACTAAACATACTAACTAAGGTAGACATTGTATGGTTTAAGTGACATATTCAGCACATGGATTAAAAAATTGCTGTCTATGGCCACCTTTTCAGTGTTACTGCAGGGTGTGGTGAAAGCTGATCAAATCTATATTTTTATTGTGAATAAACAAAAGGCATTTCCATTCATCAGTCAAGGGAGTTACAGGCATGAGCAATTATTATGACAGTTATTTTTGATAAAACACTTGATATAATTTTCAGGAGTGAAGAATAATCATTTAAGGGAAGTGTACTTAATAAGAGAGTGTCATATGGTGTATTTCCTTTTTTGGTTGTAGTTATAAGAAAATGATTTAAGTAGGAAGACAAATGAATTAATATCCCAGTCCTTCACACTTCCTCTCTGCAGCCACATGCACAGCTGGCTAAACAAGGTTAAAGACAAACTAAAAGAGGATATATTTATGGGAGCCCACTGTTAAAATACTGACAGAACAAGTTTATGGTTTTTATTAAGACTTCTGTTTTTCACTAGTATATAATATTTCAGATCTAAAACACTTTATAGTATTATTGGATTAAGGTCACAACATCCTGGAGAGAGATGTAGGTAAATATTTCTATTTTACAAATGTGGAATGGAAAGAGAGTTTATTCTGCATCTTACACTGGGCAGTAGCTTATTCGGCATGTAGTTGCACTGGTTTCAGTGGGACTACTAAAGGAACGAGAAGCCACTCAATGAGTTAATAAGGGTGACAGAAAAAGGCTGTAAGCAAATTTGACCAAAAACTTGTATACCAAGTTGATAGCAGCCAAGGAGAGAATACCATGATTTCTTACTGCACTAACTGCTGGGCCACCAGTCTTCCCACTTTCTGAATGCTGAGGCAAAATGTAATCCATCTCTAGGCAGGCATTATCTAGTAATTACTTGGAGTACTCAACTATCCCAGTTTCTATATCTTGTTATGTTGAGGGTTTGGAAAAAACTTGTTAGAGCTGGTGGATACAACAGGCACCTGCCATTCAGGCAAAATGAGGGGCTATTCTTCACTACAGGGAGATTGACACTGCTGCAATCGATGAAGCTGGGGTCAATTAAGCAGGTCTAGTGAAGGCCCACTAAATCAACGGCAGAGCGCTCTCCGGTCTACCCTGATACTCCACCTCTCCAAAAAGAGTAAGGGAAGTCGACCAGAGAGCGTCTCCCCTTGATGCAGTGCAGTGAAGACACTGGGGTAGGTTGACCTAAGCTACGTTGACTCCAGCTACATTATTCATGTAGCTTGAGTAGTGTAACTTAGGTCAACTTAAACCGGTAGTGAAGACAAGCCCAAGAAAATAATTAAATTACACTTTGTTTAAAGATAGCTGAAACAATAAGAGCCACCACCCAAAACACAGATGGTATGCAAGGCCGCTCAGGAATCTGAACTGTATGGATGGAAGGGTTTTACTGTGGACTGAATGTAAAAGCAAGAGAAGAGGACTGATTTGACTGAAGCTGTGAGTAAGAGAGAAAAGAGGCAGAAGCACCACGAAAGCACACAGACAGGAGCAAAGCCTGAGATGCAGCCAGAGAAGCCCTGGGTAGCATGACCCTAACAAATTGCTAGGCGAGAGAGCTTTTGCATGTCCCTGTGGCCCGCACATCCCTGCGGCCCGCACCGCTTCCCACAGCTCCCATTGGCCAGGAACGGCGAATCGCAGCCACTGGAAACTGCAGGCAGCCGTGCCTGCGGACGGTCAATGTAAACAAACTGTCTCGTGGGCCGCCAGTGGATTACCCTGATGGGCCACATGCTGATATAGAGCAGCATAAACAAGTCATTGTCTGTATGAAATTTTAGCTTGTACTGACTTCGCTAGTGCTTTTTATGTAGCCTGTTGTAAAACAAGGCAAATATCTAAATGAGTTAAAATACCCTTTGGAAGATCTCTGCATGCCCCCAGAGGTACACGTACCCCTGGCTGAGAACCATTGTGCTAGATCCTGGATTTTGGCTAACTACTCAAATCAAAATGGGTAACAGTATTATTAGTCTACTTATTGGGTCACTCGTAAGAGCTTTTAGGACATTTGCAGATACAGGGTATTTCATCTCCATTTCTAGACCATAAAGTCATTGTGCATTAAATTGCTACACCCACAATGAATAGGAGGTGGATATGGAAGAGACAGAAATACTGTTGTTCCCAATTTGTTAGATTTCAATTAACATTAGCTGTAAAAGTTAAGATTTGGCTCTTGTTCCTTTTAAGTTCTTTTTCTGACTTTGAAAAAGCCGAGTTATTTATTATCTTTTAAAATTAAATTGTGGCTTTGGGGTCAATGATCCCTTCAAAAGGGATGATAAATCAATTTACTGAAATGATGGGAATAAAGGTCTTTGAAATTGCTTTATTTCATGAAACATTTTTTAGCAGAAATAAAGAACTAACTCTTAGTGGTGTCCTGCTTCCTTATGCTAGCAACACAGCAGTTTGCAAATTGGAAATTAGCCTCTAAAATATTTATGGTTTTCACTTGGTCTACTGACAATTTTTCTTTTTAAAGAGCTTGTGCCTTG